GGGGGGGGGGGGCGGGGGGGGGGGGGGGGGGGGGGGGCCTGCGGTTCCAGGGGAGGGACGTGGGCTACCAGGCGCTGAACGGGACGTGCAACCGGCTGGCCCGGCTCCTGAGGGAGAGGGTGGAGGCGGGGAGGCGGGAGGATCCGCTGGTCGCGGTCTGCATGGAGCCGTCCCACCTCCTCGTGATCTCGCTGATGGCCGTCTTGAAGACCGGATGCTCCTATCTCCCGCTGGACCCGAAGTTCCCGGCCGAGCGGATCAGCCACATCCTTCGGGATGCGGATCCCATCTGCGTCCTCAAGTCTGGGGAATCCAGGGGCCTGGAAGAGGGGAAAGGGTTTCACCAGGTGTACGACGTCGAGTCGCTGCTGAAAGAGAGCAAGGACCTGGAACCGGAAGACTTGCCGGATGACATGCTGATACCGATCAAGAACGAAGACCGTCTGGCAGCCGTGCTTTACACATCCGGCAGCACTGGCGTCCCAAAGGGCGTCCGCCTCCCCCACCGAGTCGTCCTGAATCGACTCCATTGGCAATGGGAGACGTTTCCCTACGGGGAGGACGAGGTCTGCTGCTTCAAGACGGCCTTGACCTTCGTGGATTCAATCTCGGAGATTTTCGGGCCGCTGTGCCAGGGGAGGAGCCTGGTGGTCGTCCCGAGGGAGATCAGCCAGAACGTGCAGGAATTCCTGGAGGAGATCCGGGAGAACGAGGTCCGGCGGTTGGTCCTGGTCCCGACGCTCCTACAGGCCATCGTTTTATACATCAGGTCGACGAAGGCCTGGGACGCGGTGGGGAGCCTGAGGCTCTGGGTCTGCAGCGGGGAGACCCTCTCCAAGAAGGCGCTGATGGACTTCTTCCAACTTTTCCCCGAGGGCCACACGCTCTGCAACTTCTACGGGAGCACGGAGGTGATGGGCGACGTCGCCTGGGAGGCCTTCCGCTCCCGCCCGGAAGCTCTCGCCAAGACGCGAACGGGGAAGGTCTCCGTCGGGCGACCCGTGCACAACACGAGCATATACGTCCTCGACGGCGACCTGCGACCTGTCGCGGAGGGCGACATGGGCGAGATCTTTGTCGCCGGCCGGAACCTGGCCGCCCTCTACGTTCGCGTCGGCGCCGCGGGGAAATTCCTCGCGAATCCCTACATCGCGGAAGGGGAGGGTGAGTTCCCGTAATTACAGCAAAAAAAAATTCTCAAAAATTTTAAATTTATATATTGAATATAAATAAAACATAACGCGTTTTAAATATTCTATTAAATTTTTTTTTAATTGCATAGCATTTCATGGATACACGTATTCCATTTTAAATGAAACATCTGTATGCCTTTCATGGAAATGAAAAATAATTGTGTTTTTCATTTAAAAAATCTAAAACTAAAATAAATGTTTGTTAATTAATATATAAAAATGTTTTTCATCCCCCCTAAAATGAGTCCGGAAATTCCAGACTACTCCATCCTGTACCGGACCGGGGACTACGGGCGGGTCGTGGACGACCGGGTCGTCTTCGAGGGGCGGACCGACTCCCAGGTGAAGGTGAGAGGCCACCGGGTCGACCTGTCCGAGATCGAGGCCGCCCTCTCCAAGGTCCCCGCCGTGGCCAAGGCCACCGTGCTCTGCTACCATCCGGGGGGACTCGATCAGGTGATGAGTTCCAAAATTCTCTGGTAAAAATTATGAAACGAAATATTAAAAATGTAATATAAGAATTAAAATAAATATTAAAAATAAAATATATAAATTAAAATAAAACAAAAATACATATATATCAGGTTGTAAAGGTGAAATTTAGACATTTTCCATAAAACAATTTATCGACAATTAACTCAACGACTAGAGTGCAGTCTTGCGTCAATGTATCTGTGGGCGTGAGTGCTT